GCGTTGTGGTCGGAAAAGACACTTGATACGATTTCAATTTTCTTAAATTTTCCAAGGCTTGATTTGTGACCCAAGATATGATCTATCCTAGAGAGTGTTTCCATGAGAACTTTTAAAAACGTGTATTCTGTTGTTTTTGGCTGGAATGTCCTATAAATATCAATTAAGTCCATTTTGTTTAATGTATCATTTAAAGTTGTGTTTCCTTATTTATTTTCATTTTGGATGATCTGTCCATTGGTGAAAATGGGTTGTTAAAGTCCCCCACTATTATTGTGTTACTGTCTATTTCCCCTTTTCTGGCTGTTAGCATTTGCCTTATGTATTGAGGTGCTCCTATGTTAGGTACATAAATATTTACAGTTGTTATATCTTCTTCTTGGATTGATCCTTATGTAGTGTCCTTCTTTTTCTCTTTTAATAGTTTTTTGTTTGTTTGTTTGTTTTGTTTTTGCGGTACACAGGCCTCTCACTGTTGCGGCCTCTCCCGTTGCGGAGCAGAGGCTCCGGACGCGCAGGCCCAGCGGCCATGGCTCACGGACCCAGCCGCTCCCCGGCATGTGGGATCCTCCCAGACCAGGGCACGAACCTGCATTCCCTGCATCGGCAGGCAGACTCAACCACTGAGCCACCAGGGAAGCCCTCTTGTAATAGCTTTTATTTTAAAGTCTATTTTGTCTGATATGAGAATTGCTACTCCAGCTTTTGCTTGATTTCCATTTGCATGGAATATCTTTTTCCATGCCCTCACTTTCAGTCTGTTTGTGTCTCTAGGTCTGAAGTGGGTCTCTTGTAGACAGCATTTCTACAGGTCTTTTTTTGCATCCATTCAGCCAGTCCTTTTCTTTTGGTTGTAGCATTTAATCCATTTACATTTACAGCAATTATTGATGTATATCTTCCTATTACCACTTTCTAATTGTTTTGGGTTTGTTTTTGTAGGTCTTTTCCTTCTCTTGTGTTTCCTGCCTAGAGAATTTCCTTTAGCATTTGTTGTAAAACTGGTTTGGTAGTGCTGAGTTCTCATAGCCTTTGCTTGTCTGTAAGGTTTTTTATTTTTCCTTCGAATCTGAATGAGATCCTTGCTGGGTAGAGTCATCTTGGTTGTAGGTTTTTCCCTTTCACCACTTTAAGTATGTCCTGCCATTCCCTTCTGGCTCGCAGATTTTCTGCTGAGAAATCATCTGTTAACCTTATGGGAATTCCCTTGTATACTATTTCTTGCTTTTCCTTGCTGCTTTTATTATTTTTCCTTGTATTTATTTTTTGATCGTTTGATTAATACGTGTCTTGGCATGTTTCTCCTTGGATTTATCCTCTGTGGGACTCTCTGTGCTGTGTTCTCGATTGCCTATTTCCTTTCCCATATTAGGAAAGTTTTCAGCTATAATCTCTTCAAATATTTTCTCAGTCCCTTTCTTTTTCTCTTCTTCTTTTGGAACCCTATAATTTGAATGTTGGTGCATTTAATGTTGTCCCAGAGGTCTTTGAGACTGTCCTCAATTCTTTTCATTCTTTTTTCTTTAATCGCTCTGCAGTAGTTATTTCCACTATTTTATCTTCCAGGTCACGTGTCCGTTCTTCTGCCTCAGTTTTTCTGCTATTGATTCCTTCTAGAGAATTTTAAATTTCATTTTTTGTGTTGTTTCTCTTTGTTTGTTTGCTCTTTAGTTCTTCTAGGTCCTTGTTAAGCATTTCTTGTATTTTCTCCATTCTATTTCCAAGATTTTGGATCAACTTTACTGTCATTACTCTGAATTCTTTTCCAGGTAGACAGCCTATTTCCTCTTCGTTTGGTCTGGTGGGTTTTTACCCTGCTCCTTCATTTTCTGTGTATTTCTCTGTCTTCTCATTTTGGTTAACTTGCTGCATTTGGGGTCTCCTTTTCACAGGCTGCAGGTTCATATTTCCCATTGTTTTTTGTGTTTGCCCCCAAACACAAACCTTTGGGTAAGGTTGGTTCAGTGTGTTATGTAGGCTTCCCGGTGGAGGGGACTGGTGCCTGTTTTCCAGTGGATGAGGCTGGATTTTGCCTTCCTGCGGGCAGGGCCTGGCATGCAGATTCTTAACCACTGCGCCACCTGGGAAGTCCAAGAGCAGCTTTTAAAAATATCTTCTTTGTCCACATAAAGTATACACTTTTAGTTTTCTAATTATACAGCCAATTCTAGAAATTTCTTTGTCTATATATACATAAAAATAGGCTTTTAATAAATGCATATTGAACTGAATTTTTAAAACTCTATTAAAATAGTTATATATACAAAGTATATTTTTCATATATCCCATTTATAAAGTAGAGATACATTCTATACCAAGAGCTTCAAGTATTACCAATTACTATGGAAGCAGAACCTGGAGTATCAGTTCACACGTACAAGTGCCATTTTAAAAAAACATATATGAAATTTTTTAGCCCATAAATTTCATAAAAGTGTAATTCTCTATATACCAAAATATATGGTTGTATGTTTAATTTTAAAACTTTCTTCTTTATCGTTGTCTTCCTGAAGTATAAACAGGATAAAAAATAATTCCTTTTTGGAAATAAGAATTACTGAGTCCTTACTAGATGGTAGGCACTCTCCTATGTGCTTTTACGTGATTTCATTTCATCCTCATAGTAGCCACCTGAGATAGGTAGTATATCTGTTTCTCAGATGTGGAAGAGGCACCCTATGCTCAGAGAGGAGAGATGGATAGTTCAGATCTACCCAGCTAGTAAAGATGGATTAAACCCAGGGTTCTGCCTGGCCAACACTCCCTCCAGAATGGTGAACTCACTTGATTCCCTTTACCGTGGCTCAGATTCATTATGAACATATGTGCAGGCTCAAACTTGTCTCTCTGCTTTTGAGGTTCCAATAGTTGTGTTAGAGTGTTATACTTCTTTGTGTCTAGTTGCTACTGTGAATCATATCAGGTATTCAGATGAGAATGAAGTTTGGCTACCTCTCTGTGTCACTGTGAGAGAAAATGCCCAAGACTTGGCATCCAGTACCATGATCAAACCCTTGTCTCTCGTTGCTTTGTGTATCCCAACATTTCTCTGCTGATGTCTCACCTGTGGTTTTCCTACTTAAGCCATGGACTGGAAATCCTGGCATAGCTGCTTCCCACAAGTCAAGGCACAGAGACACTGCGACCAAGAGCAGGCTTTAAGGTTCAAAGTGATTTGGGATTCAAAGACCCGTAGAGCAAGGAGATGCAAAACGAGATGGAGGTTTTGGGCATGGGCCCTCAAGATGGAGAAATCCACACCATAAGGCCTACAAATTAGCTTCAGGTGGGTGGTGACTATTTTGGGACCCAACAGACAGTGGGAAAACTGAGCTCTCCTGTTGCTCATTGAAGCCATTCCATTCTTCGAGTCTGAGACCTACTGAGGTAAAGCCACCAGGTACTTGTTTGGACTCTGTTTGTTCCTGGCTCAGGAAACAACCCAGAGCTTTCTTCCAGTACTCAGGTCTCTTTTGTGGTGTATGAAAAGGAAGAGGTTGTGGGAGTTCCCAGGGCACTTTGATGTCATTTGGGGCTGGGGTTGAGGGCTTTGCATTAGGCTCCTGGTTACCTTATGGTGTGTTTCATGTCTAGCCCTCATCCAGCCAGGAACAAAGGACCTTGTATTGCAAGCCATAACCTATGGGTCTGGAAGTTTCTTAAGTTATAAAGAAATATTTATTACTTCAAAGAGGGGAAATGAAAAGGAGGAAAAAAAGACTCTGTAAAAAAAGAGTGTGGCTGGTCTTTCCCTCAAAGGAGGAAAGGAAGAAGGGAGAGTTGTGCTACATTGACCACTGAAAATCATAAAATCACCCTAATTGAGCCAGCAGTGCAAATGGACACTCTATAAACACACCACCAAGGCTCAGGAAAAATCAGTCTGCAGACAAGGAAGAATTCTTATTAAAATGGAAAACATGTTTTACTCTCCTGCTCCCCATTTTAAGAAAAGACCTCTGCCATTAGATGTTGTACCCTGCTCTGACACTGAGGACAGTTTTTCTGGAGCTTTATCCCCTTCAGAACCTGATAAAAAGCTAGAGAAATACACACAGAAGGTTGTACAGTCCAGCACCAGATTCTAATAATGCAACAACCATCCAACACCAGGGAAGACTGGAGTTAATTCTCAATAGAAATTAAGAGTAATGTTGAGCTATAGGAAATAAAAGTAGAATTACTACATCAAATAATTTCAATATGGAAAATAAGTTCTCCAGGTCATTCCCCAATCTCTGAGGTGTTTTCTTTTATATTAAAGGATTTCCAGGGACAAAACATCCATAGTTTAGTGTGAAAGACTGTTTCTTTGTTAATTAGTCTAGCCATCTAGGTATATTTCTTATAGATAACTGAATTTTCCTGTGAATTTTCATTGTTGGCTTATTCTTCAGCCATGGATAGGGTATATGGGCTTGAGGCACCAAAAGAATAAGAATAAACAGTTTGGCAGCTTCTAATCTCAGAAGCAACCGAATCTTCAATAGCTTCTCTCCCATGGCATAGTTCAAAAGCTAAGTGAGAGGTTCTGATAAAAACTTTAAGGGAGAGATAAGGAGATAGGGAAGGATAATTAGCTATGCCACTTCAGAACAAAGTGTTAGCAAGGTGATACTCTTGTCCACCTCTCTCACTTTGGAGGTAGGGAGGTATTGTCTACCTATGCTGTAGTTTACTGTCTCCAGAGATGGTCTATTTGAGTGATCTTTTTGAGAAATGTAAAGAAAGATTCAAGTGACAAGCAATTGGTTGACATAAAAAGTCTCATAAAAAGATGGGAAGCTCAGTAGCTGAAAGCTATCTTCTTTCCAGCTAATTTTGACTTTTGATGTGACTGTGGCTATCTTTCTGTGCCTACTCCATGTTTTTTCCCATTGTAAAGGAGAAGGGAGCTCTTTATGAGTGGTGGGCTATTTGAGAAGTATAAAAATAGTGTGACACGTGCCTTGATAGCCCACTGGAAATAATGGCTCGTACATGTATGTGCTTATGCCTAGGTTTGTTTCAATAGACCAGGAGTGGCCACAGCAATTTTCATTTTCTTGACATCTGATGGCCTGGTGCCTGGGGAACATCAGCGGCCAACAGTGACCCTTTACCTGACCGATATCAGTGGAAACAACCACTCTCTTGGTGAGTCTGACAGTTATCCCTTTAGGACCACTAGAGGACAATCCAGTAGACCCAGGAATCAGCTTGATGTCTGTCTCTGATATTGTTTGAGACCTTGCTTACATCATACAGCTATTGAGAAGATAAAATGAATACTAGATATGGAAACTTGGTACTACATGAAAGACTTAAAATATTATTCATCTCCTTGTTTCTCTTCAGGAAGCTATGAACTGTCATGCCAGCATAACCCACTGGTTATCAATGTAACCCATCACTCGAACGTCCTCTTCCACCATACCACCTCAGTGCTGCTGAAGTTCTCATCCCCACTGGTGGGCATCTCAGCAGTGGCTCTAAGGACATCCTCCATCATAAGTCCTTCAGCTTCCAACAACTGCATCCCAGATCACGAGGGGCAAAATCATCAGGGACAGAGGTACAAAGTCCCCTTTCTTCCTTTTTTTCTTTCTTTTTGTTGTGATGTGTTGCTATCATTTTCATACATACTATTGTATATATAGTGGGTGCTTGTTCACTAACTAAAAATGGGTCTAAGAACTTCTAAAAAGACTTAAGAAGCAAGCAAAGAACAATTCATAGAAGGCACACTTGCGTTTTATATTTTGCTCTTCTTTCCTTAGCTGAGAATAATGTTTATGTAAATATTTATCATCTTTAAGGTCGCAAAATCTTTTTTACATATAAAACCACTGCCTTCACATCAACATTGTTATGTAAACTGCCAAAAATTCTCTGCCAAAAACTCAGTGTTCCCTAAGCGATGTATATTTTTTTACTTGTTCCCACCTGGACAGTGTATATAGCAAGTTTAACAATTAGTTTCTAAGGCATGTCATATAATCAATTAGATTTACATATGGAAATCAGGACTACATTAGCTATAGGTGGCCTTCTGTGGACATCTGTTAATTGTCATCTAGATAGCATTTCCTGGACTCTCAGCTCCTGCTAGTAAGGAACTGTTCTTCATAGCATTGGCATGCCCAAGGTTGGCCCTGATGGGGCAAGGAGCAAGCCAAACACAGTAATCTGTGCTGTACTTGGGCTGGACTCGTTCTGTGAAAGGTCTAATCAGTTGAGCGGCGCTGTAGGCAACAGGGTTTGTTCCCTCAAGGAGTGAAGTGTCAGGCGATTGGGGTCCTGGTCACAAAAGCTGGAGTTGCAGGCAGCACTCCATCACCAAGGAGGAACTCTGATACCACCTTGCCCAACCTAGGCATCCCAGAAACCCAACCTTGATTAGGGAATAAGTGTAGACAGTACTAATATAGTATATTAGTTATCTTTTGCTGTGCAGCAAATTATAGCAAAATTTAGTGGCTTATCACGGTTTCTGTCAGAGAGGAATCTGGGTGCAACTCAGCTAGGTGCCTGTGGCTTAGAGTCTCTTACGAGGTTGCCATCAGCTGTGGGCTAAGCGTGCAGTAACCTCAAGGCTCGAGTGGAGCTGGAGAATTCACTTCCGAGTTCACTCATGTGGCTGTGGCAAGCCTCGGGAGATCTGCATCCAAACTCACTCACACAGGTGCTGGCAGTGGGCACACTCCCATAGGCATGGCTCAGTTCCTTGCCATGTGGGCGTCTCCATAAGGTGCCTGAGTGTCCTTATGACATGGCGGCTAATAATCCAAAAAATAAAGAGAACCAGAGAGGGTGAGTACATGTGAGTCTGCCCAGAAAGGAAGCCAGTCTTTTTATAACATAATGTTGGAATTGACAACCCATTACTTCTGGTATATTCTATTGATTAGAAATGAGTCAGTTAGTTCAGCCCATACTCAAGAGGAGGGATGTGCATCAAGGCACGAGTCATTAGGTGCCATTTATCACATGCGGTAATAGTAGTTTATGTTAATCAAGCACTAACTATGTGTCAGACATTGTTGTAAGTGCTAGGAAGGGATAGGGTCCAGGTAATGGACACTGCAACACTAGCTAGTTCATCTGCAACTTTTAAGTCTCCTTAGTGAGCAAAAGTCTTCAAATATTAATGTAAGAATGTAGACTATTAAAATAGCATTTTTTTACTAGAATTATTGCCTCTGTCTCATGTGTTTTCCAATTATTTTCTCTATTGGTTCTACCTCTGGCCTCAAGCCATACAGAATTTCTTTCAGGTCCCTGAAACATGTGTTCTTGTTGAGCTCCATGTCTTTGCACACAATGTTCCTACTTTCTTGAATGCTGTCCAGTACTTCTTCACTTCAACTCACACTTGACCATCATGATTCACCTTCGTCTATGAATTTTTGGCAAACTCCCTCCCTGTTTCCATAGGACATTGTACACAACCCATGCTTTACAAAGGCAGCTATCACATAAATATACCTATTTATTTATTTGTTGTTCTTTCCCACTCTGAGCTCCCTGCAGTAGGAATTCTGCTCAGTATCTCTCAGTACCTACTAAAGGCCCTGGCGCATAAGAGGTGTCAGAAACTGTGCATTGAATGACAGTTACAGATTTTATCTCTAAATCTTCCACGGGACAGAACTGAACAAGCAAAGCAAAAAGGAAGTCACAACCTCTGTAGACCCCAAGGGACAAGAATTCCCCTCACAACAACAGCTGTGAAGTTTTGACAAAGAAGTTGATTAATTATGATCACTGCTGCTAGTTCTTCACTTATTTTCATTTGGCACTGTGGGAAAAACAAGTTTTATACGCATGCATGCAAACCAGTAGAAATAAGATATGATTCTCCAGTTTACACAGAGTGTATCTGGAATGCACGAGAATTTCCAAACCACATGTGACTGACAGGAGCCATGCAAATTGGCTTTTCCTTTTTGGCCAGAAGATCAGTGCAATATAGTAAATTTTGATACACAGGGAACCTAATAGATCCCGCATATTTTCTTTGTGGACAGATTTAAAATCTAAATCCCTGTGTATTCTCAAAGAGTAGAAGCCTTTTAGCATCTTTGTATCAATCACAGTTGTAAATGTAGATAGACCATAATATGAAACCCTCAAATTCTGGGCATAGTGAGAGGGATTCCTGGCTACCTCCTTCTTACCCCTTATGACCTGAATTACATTAATACTAAAATGGGCAAGGGAGAGCTGACAGATGCCTGGCAGTAGAAGATGTTTTATCCATTTTGTATTTAGCCACTAATGACCAATGGTCTGTCCTCCTACAACACTTTATCCTTAAACCAGCCTGACTGACCCACAGAATCTCAGCTGAAGGCCAGTAAACCTAAGTCTGGCTCTCCAGTGACATTCATGATCCTTACCTTGGGCCATTTGACTTTGATCTTTCTCTGCATCTTGTTTCCCATTCTGCTATGATGGCTACCCAGCTTATGACCCTTTGGGCTTAGTCTACTGATAATGAACGCCTTAGTCCTGAAAACCAACTTTAGTGTTCTTGGTTTTGGCCACCAGTGCCCAGTAAGAGCTGAATTCATTCTTACCCTCTGACTATTTCCTGCCCTAGCCACCTTGGGGAAAGGTCCTGCATAACCTTCCACAGTATCCCAGGAGTTGGAGTGTCAGGCAGATCCCCAACCATTCCAGGATTGTGTTGATGGCTTGGGGAAGTGGGAACCATCTTTTTGATTAATACAGTGGGATTTTGAATGTGTCTGAGATACAGTCCTGGCACTAATAGGTTAATTTTCCTAAATGAGTGGATTAGCTTGCAGATAATCAGGGCTCATGTTATCTACTTTGGAAATTCACAAGGTCAGGTCTAGAAGAATTTACTAACAGGCAAGAATTGCTGATGGGCATGTGTTTCTCCTACAACAGGATTCTGTTTTTTCAGTCACATGAATACAATAAAAACATTAGTTGCAACTTCTCTGACCCTACCTGATGGTATATCCATCAGATACCCCTGTGTTGAATCTTCTGAAGATGAAGAATATTATCGCCTTTTTCAGGACACAGGCTGATAGCAGTGGTTGAAACTTCTGATCACTCATTTCTTTTCAGCATTTGTACTTTCCTTTTATTGATTTTTCTATCTACCTGCTCTATAAAAGGTTGAGAATACAGTATAACCTTCCAGACAGTTGTGCTTCTTTCCATTCTTCCTTGTATTTCAAGTAGTTCTGGCTTTTTATAATTTCATATTACATAATTAGGTGTATAAATGCTTGTGACTGTTTTATTTTTATTAGGATCAAAGCTCTTGCCACCCCTTTTGCCCCTTTCAAAGGTTAAGGCTTTGTATTATGCTTTGTCTGGAATTAAAATTTCCATCCCTGCTTTCCTTTTGTTTGTATTTGTTTGATAAATGTTTGCCTCTGTTTTATTTTTAACCTTTCTCTGTCTTCACTGCCAGTGAGGCCAGGGCACATTGCTTTACTGCACTGTTTACAAAGACAGTAGGATTTCACTGTGTAAAACTACTCCAAGCTTTTATTCTGAAATTTTATCTCATGGTCCTCAAGCCTGTAGTATTCTTTAGGACTCTGTAGCATTCTTACCTTTGGGACAGTTATCTCCCAGGATTCAATGGCCTTTGCCAATGGTTCTCCCTTCTCCCCACTTGCTTCTACCTCACCCCACCAAGACCCTTATAATTCCTGACCGGAAATCTTGAAATGAGTAAAGAAAGGGTACTGATGAGGACTGATGGATAGAGAACAGAACTGTGACCCCTGAGAAGTAGTGCCCAGCTCTCTGGTCTTTACAGGGGCCAGGGAATGAAGAAAGAGTGACCTGTTTCCCTCTTTTGTTTTAGTATGGCTCTATTCTTTATTTGCTTTGCTTTTTTCAGAAAACAAAACAAGAAATGCATGTTTTGGCTTCCAGTGATATTTCTCAATTCAACTCCAATACATTTTGAAATCAGGAGAAAAATCCTCAGAGTCCATCTATCCACCTTGGTTTTTGGTATTGATAAGAGTTTTCATATTTTTCTGTATTGTTGGTATTTAAGTGGGAAACAGGGAGAAATTACCTCAGAGTATTCTTGTGAGATTACCTGAGAATGATCCATGTAGAGTTTGTAGTACATTCAAACACCAGGTGGGACGACAGCCCAGGCAGTTTCCACACCATTTCCCATCTTTATCATTTTTACCATCCTCCTTCTACAAGTTGTGATAGTTATCAGTCAACTTATTGCTTCTCACCTCTAAATCCACCCTTATCACCCTAACTCGTAGTACTAGAGCAGGATTTTATTGATATTTATCCTTTGCTGGCTGGCACAGTGTTAACTTTTGTCAACAGTGGGTTCTGGAAACACACTGTAGGAGAAAGGGTCTCCTCTTCCTGGTTTTGATGTACTTTCTTCTCTCTGGCTGCTGTGATGGGCTCAGCAGTGGTGTGCAGGACACCTGCGGTCAAGTACAGCAGGAGTTTGGGTTCCCAGTTGGCTCTTCACAACAATAGCCAAAGATGATAGCTTGGTAATTGGTAATTGTGGTCCCACTGCGTGTCATTGATTATTAG